TCATAATCTACTATGGCGTCATGAGCCGTTTGGAGAAGAGTCCAAAAATTGTCAATATTTTGTTTTTTGTGTTTGTGAAATATGTGTGTTTGAAAACACAAATAATTATTTACATAGTATATATTTGGATAAATATATTGTACCAAACTGGTTTTAATGGCAGCGGTATTTCGATTTTTACCGTGATCTATACCAGTTTGGTAATCGTTTTTTATATTAGTATATAAAATAATAAGTGAAATAAATACGCTCACTTTGGTTTTCCTCAAGGGGCTTTTGGAGGGCATATATCTGTATATACAAGTATACGTGCTTGTGCGTTTGTCCCAGTGTCTGTCCTTTTCGGCATTCAGCTGGCTAGCTCCTTATGCGTGTTTGTTGTTTTGGTTGGTTAAATTGTTTTTATACTCGCGCTCGCTTATTTCAGTTTCGCAACCGCTTTAAGTTGTTCTTTTTTTTGTTAACATCTTTTTATATATTTTGTTTTTGATGCATACTTTTTTATGCATATATTTGTTTGAGGGAGCTTGCACAGACGGACGGACGGACAGACAGTTACCCGGATATCAACTCGTCTCTTCATCCTGATCATATATACAAGTATATACTTGTATATACATAACCCTATATCTAACTCGATTAGTTTTAGGTGATACAAACAACCGTTAGGTGAACAAAACTATTATACTCTGTAGCAACAGGTTGCGAGAGTATAATATAAAATAAAAATTCTTTTTATTTAAAGATGGGTTCTTTTTGTTTAAAAAAATAAGTAAGTATTTTCAGATGAGATTTATTTATAATGTTTACAGCGAAATTGGTTATAAATGTTAGTATAAGTGTCCATAATGTTGTAGGCTTCTGTCACCGAAACGATTCTTTATTTTACATAATTTATCTCAATACTCGATTTTTGAATGAATATCCAAAAGTTGTTTCTACTGTTCTTTAGGCAAAATAAGATCCAAGGTTTTTTAGAAAATTAAATATATCTTCTGCTGTCGACGACATGTCTTGGATTACTGAACTTTCATATGCAATGTTTGATAATAATTTTTTCGTAATGTTTTCCGAAAATTCAAAGCAATAGATATTTAGAATACCTTAAATAATTTCTATAATATGAGCATTTAATTCGATTTTCACAATTATCGTAAACTAGATTGAAATGTCGATAGAAAACACCTGGGCTCTCAAGAATACCTCCAATTCTCTTTTCCTTCTCAACAAAATTTATTTTAAAAGCGTCAATAGCATCGAGTATGGTGTATACACTTACTTTCGCATTATACGACTCATTTCTTTGATCGGAGTAAGTTGGTCTAAAATATCCCCAGGATAGGGACTTTCCGTTGTTGTAGTTTTTAATAATGATGGGTTCTGCTCAGGAAGACTCTTATCTAACAATTGAATTGTTACAGTTATTTTTAAACGTAACAAAGTGTTTGGAATATTGTACATATATTTATAATACAACATGTGTATGTATAATACATGTGTAGAAGTAGAATTTTTATTAAATTAGTCAATTTCAAAAGTAAAGTAGAGTTGGCTGTGTTATATCTACAATGGGGTCGGTGATGACGAAGACGACGATGATGACATCGTTGACAACACTTCAATTTCTTCATCATAATGCGTTAAAAGAGGCTCACTTTGTTTGCAAAATATCATTACTATTCGGTAATGTTAAATTAAATTGAATACTTTTCGAGTTTTGATTTATTGCAAGCACCTTATTATCTTGTTTTTCCCAAATTGGGGCACCATAGGCAGCTTTGAAAACAAGTAATAATGGAATACAAAACTTAAATTCCATTGTGTCATATGCCTTTGTCCACGACAATTTAAAATAAGGTTGATATTTGAAAAAATATGTATTTATATGCTTACTTTTCTTCTTCTTCTTAAATTTCTAATCTTATTTTATTTCATTATAATTTAAATTACTATCCAGTATGTACTTGAACAAAATATATGCTGTTTTTAAGGCACAACAAATTTGTAGTCTGTTGATTTTCACATTAGAATCATTATGAAAATGATACTCATAACGCACAACATCTGGATGTAAATTATATAATCTAGAAAGATTCATTCGATTACATTCTGTACTCTCCTCTTCAATGTTAAACACCGGCTTTTTGAGGAACTCCGCTATCCATTGTTGCTTTTCTTGCTCCTTAACATAAACTTTTAAGTTTTTTAACGCTGATATCAAATAGTTCTTTCCATAGGACCATAATAAATTATGGTGGTGTAATATTAACCAATTAGCTTGCCGTTGATTATCCTTACTCAGGTCCTTTGCAATAAATATATTATATTATTACAGGCTTTGAACATCTACTGTCGCAAACATTATGAAAAGTAATAATGAAATATATTTTTAATGATAGGCTTTTTATACGTTCGTGAAGGACAAAACAAAATAACCAATCTTCATATATAATAAATAATACAACAAAATCGTCTTATTTTGACCCGAAAATTACAAATCCGTGAGCGGAAAGTGAATTTTTTAAATAATTTATGTATATTTTTATATAAAAAAAATATTTAACATACTTTGCACATATAACTTAGTTGTTGTTTTTGTTGTTGTAGCGGCAGAATTCTGTAGAATTCAGATTACTTAGCTGTAATTACATGTTCAACGAGTTAGACATTTTCTTGTGAAAAAAAATACTGAAGAAATAAAACAATCACAATTCCTTTTAGTCCAGTCATTTAAGCTTAAATTAGGTAAGAATCGCGGAATTCAGATACCCAGCTGTAAGTCTGTAAATACTTGTATATTGACACCCTAAAAGTTGTCTCAAAACCTACATATGGTAGGGTGTACGCAACTATTAAATTTCAAAGTCAAAGGTCACAAAAATCGGTTTTTTGCGCTTTTTTTGTAAATATCTCATTTCCTATGGGTTTTTTGCTATTGGTATTTATTATCAATATTGTAGAATACAAAATTCTCTACAAATTTTGTTTAAAAATTTTTTTCATACGGTGAACCGTTTTCGAGATAGAGGGCTTAGAGCGCGCGGTCACAGCATTACTTCAGGTCAACCGGTGCCTCCGATCAAAAACGCGCCATATATAGTTGATGAACTATCGATAAATCAATGATTATAAATATTTGTCAATTTTTATTAACTATTATATTATATTTTATCATTTTCTTCATGCCTTAAATCTTTATCTATTCAATAATACTGATCACCGTTTCCTAAAATTAAAAAATAATGAAGGGAAAAACTTAAATCTTACTATAATTATATTCCCATTAACACTAATGACATTTTAATTAGAAAATAATTAAGTGCATCTTCTTTAAAATCTGTAAATTTGTAAATAATAGGACAAGATATTGATTTACTCATCATTTTAATTGGGCGTACACTGTCTTACGAACAAGAAGTTTTCTTTAAAAAAGTTGGGAAAGGCAATGTAAAAACGGAGATGTACTCGACTAAAAGTTTTGATAATTATCCTCATTCCAAAACACATATTATATTTCTGCACGCATTAAGTGGATGTGACACAACTTCTGCGCTTTTTAAAAAGGGAAGAAAACATTTTTAAAAGTTTTTGAGAAACTGACCAATTTGGATGAACTAGCTGCAGCATTTGAGGAAGAAAATTGTTCGGCCCAGAGATTATTAGAGAGTGGAACTCAAACCTTATTGGCAGTCTATAATGCTCCGAAATCTGTGAAAAGTCTCGATCATCTTCGTTATATGCATTACGTCAAGTCTACAAAACTTAATAAACCTGTGCAGCTTTCAAATATTCCACCAACAAGTGCAGCTGCTCATCAACATTTCGAACGTGTATATTATATTATTTTACCACCTGCTCCAGAACATTTGCTAAATACAATTTTCTGCAACTGCAAGAGTGGTTGTGGTTCGTGATGCGGGTGCAGGAAAGCGGGCTTGCAATGCTCTTTAGCTTGTGGCCAATGTAATGGGCAAGCTTGTCTCAATGCTCTACCATATCAGAGCGACATTAACGAAGATGGAACTTTTGACCCCGAAATCATGGAAGAACTTGAAACAAATGTCGTTGAAGACGATAATGAAGACCAGTTTGAAATTTACCAGCAGCCGGAAGACGACGATGAAGAGGAAGAAGATGATTAAAATTATAAATTGTAGTTTTTGTACCCTTTATTCCATTTTTTTACTTTTAATAAAAATAAATGTATTGAATGATATTTTTTAATAAATTTTTTTTATTTTTTTTTTATCATGTAAGAAGTTATTAATATTAATAAGGTTTAAATTCAAATATAATTCCTATATTTTCATTAACAATTCTGCAATTTCATGGGCAGGTAAGTGTTGTTAAATAAATTAATACTGAATAAAAAGTGGATAGGTTAGGAAAAAATGATAAAATATAATATAATAGTTAATAAAAATTGACAAATATTTATAATCATTGATTTATCGATAGTTATAAGCCCTCTATCTCGAAAACGGTTCACCGTATGAAAAAAATTTTTAAACAAAATTTGTAGAGAATTTTGTATTCTACAATATTGATAATAAATACCAATAGCAAAAAACCCATAGGAGAACTCCTTTCTGCACAGGCGGCCTTCGGTCGCGTTTCAAAAAAATAATTCTGTTTTTGTCAATAAATCATGTTTTTGTTTGATTTTCTTTAATTTTGAGTAACATTCACGGAGAGAATTAAAAACCACGTCCGTCTCTTTGAATGCTCCTCGCTCAAAAAAATAAAATAAAAATTTGAAAATGAAGTTCAGTTTCTAGATTTTGACACTTCTGCATACTATCGTTGACAGATATTGTTTATATACACAAAATGGCGACTGCCAACTCAGTTGCTTGTGATAGATATGTATGTATATATGTTATATATGGTAGGTTAGATTGAGGATTATTTATATATATACGATATGTATAATGATTTGCTAATATAGTTTGAGCTGAGCAACATTTTACGAAGCCCTAGTTAAAATTAAAACTTCTTAGTGATGTTTATTTATATTCTTTTTATTTTTGTGTTAATACGTCTGACAAGATGGTATGGCAGGATTTATATTTTATATAAAGAACCTTGTATATTTTGATACTGTAAATATTAAGGAGTACCTTCCTGTCAGATCGTTGGCAACAGGCAATTATCGTTTAACTTTTAGTTGGATAAATGTGCACTTAATATTTAAATTATTCTTAAAATATCTCTAAAATAGTTTTTATTTGATTAAAATAATATTGAAAGTGATTATATCCAACATACTTCGTTAAACTTGCACTAGACGTAAGAGCCAAGTACAATGGCATCTTCAACTACGCATTGTGGATATGTATAAAAAGATTTTTGAATATCGGCGGTGTTTTCTCTTTCGAATTCGATTAATTGCGTCTTGGGACCAGAATATATAATCGTACAAACCTTCAAAAGAAGGCTTTCAATAGGCATGTTTTATTTGACTGCCATAAGCTATAGCTAAATCGTTGACGAATAAAATGCACTTAGCTTATTTCATATTTGCGCTTAAAAACGAGCTATGTTGGCGATGAGGACAAGAACAGTCAGCTGATATTCAATGTATTTCAAAATGTCTGACATGGACGATAGTTTGTATTTTAAAATTTATAAACGAAATATTTATATACTATACAAATAAATATATTTTGTTCATTTGAGGTCTAGAACACAAAAAATCAAAATAAATGTTCCTATTTTGTCTTAATTTTAACTCAATATCCCTCCACAAAAATCTGTAATTTTGGTTTGCTTACATTTTCATCTGTCAAAATAAAGAAAAAAAAATTGAACTAATACTATAAATTGAACTAATACTACAAGTATAAACTGGCAATACTTCTAGAACAAGCTAACAAAGGTTTAGATAAGCGAATATAAATATGTTGGCTAAGTCTTCCATACAATATAAGCTCATAGCTTAACTTGCTGGTCAAATAGAGCACACCTAACATATTGTTTATGAAATAATATGAAAGTGTAAATATGAGAATACATGCATTATATATTATAAATATTATTGAAACAATAATTGATATGATGGCTTAAAACTAGTATACAAACTTTTACATATTATGTGTATATTTGTATCGATAATCTAAGTATATGGGTCATTCCTTCCAAAATTTACATAAACATTTTATTTCTTACAAAAAAAGTTATGAATTCTTAAAATTTCAATGTTTGAAAAAAGTAACTTTAAATATTAGGCTACACGAAAAAAAGTATTTCATTATACAAATAACTAACCGGCGTATTTTTTACGGTTTTTTCAGCTTTCCAATAAGATATACTAGGTATTTTTTTCAACTACGTACGTACATTTTTATAAACAAAGAATTTGATTTTTCAATTTGGAACTATATTTATTCAGTTTTTTTAATAAAACAAAGTCGAAATAAAAAAATAGGTGTCCAATATTTTGCCACAAAGAACACAAAAAAAATATTTTGTACGAAAAAACTTTTTGAATGTAAGTTTTTGATGCAATGACCCATATGTAGCTTAACTTAATCTTCATATTTTTTAAATTTCAAAGTATACAACTGATTTCCGTAAATACTGATCATATAAGTACTATGTAAATGCGTTTATAACGTCTTCTCGGATTGCTTTATTGTTATAGTCGCAGCCTATATATGTATATTTGCTTAGAAATAGTACAAAATGTTAATTTGCAATAATTATATTGTCTTCAAAATGAAACTTTTTCAATCATAATTTATAAAAGTTATATCTATAATCATATTGCAGTTTTTACTATTTACAATAAGTATCGAGAGTATGTCTGCAAATGCATATATTTGTAATCTTTCTTATTTAATACATACAAGTATTATATGTATATACATATTTTAATTTGCATATGAGTATTAAATTTAATTCATTAATTTTGGGTTTGTTCTAATTTTGCCAGACCATTTTCATTGAATATAGGAACGTAAAAAATTTAAACTCATTAACAAGTAGGTAACATAAAAACAAAACATTATTTGTATTTTAAAATTTCAACATCATACATTAAAGAGTTTAACAATATGTAAATGGTAATTTCTTTACATTTTAACTATAGCGTACGTGAAATGAAAAAGGACAGTATCACATATATAGTAGTAATGGACTTATTTTAATTTAACTACATAAATACTTGTGTACCATAGACATTTTTGAGGTCATCCGAGATCCTATGAATATTGTGCTGATTCTTCTCCCGATGCAATTTTCTTTACTCGGCTAACATCATCATATGCGATTGAAAATACACTTTTCTTATCAGCGATTGGATTTCTTCGACCCATATTATTTAGAAAAGAATTCATTGCAATTCCAGAATCGTGATCATCTTCTAAAGTAGATACATTAAGTTGTTTTTGAGAGTGTTGGTGCGTATTACTTTTTGGAGTCGGGTGGGCTGAATTTGGATTTTCCACTTTTAGGCTAATTTTCGAGTTTGTCACTTTGACTTCATTCTCTCTAATAGGCGACGGTTTAGGTTTACCTTTTATATTATTACCTTTCGCCACCTTAGTTACAACAAATGGTGTAGTCTCGGGATACATGTAATGTGGCAATTTTGTTGGTGGTAAAGGGACCTCCGGAGCATTTTCGCGCTCAAATCTGTGCTCTGAATGTTGTAAAAGTGGGTGGCTAGCATCAATCTCAATTTTAGGATTATACTGCTTATTTATTACAATATCTTCTTTCAGGAGTATGCTATTTTTTAGGGGGGATTTCCTCGGTGCAGGTTCAGGTCTACTTTTTCCATCTTCAGAAGGAATAGAATCGGCATTCGAGCTTAAGCGTGTTTTCGTTACACATTTTTTTCTTTTTGAAACTGTCATTGACTTTAAATTATCGGACCTAGGTTTGGTATTTATATTTTTTGGTTTGCCATAGTACCATTCCATGTATTTTGGCACGGATTTCTCAGTAATGTTTCCGTCATTGTATCGGTCTTCATGATACAAGTTGGTTGCACTTTGATATGCACGCTCTTTAGCTGCATGATATGTCTTAGTCAGTGAAGATGTATGTTTTTCATTATCCAATCGATTGTGTGATATTTCTGATGAACTTTGCGACCGACCCCGTTTTTTTGACGTTGGCCTATGAGTGTCTCTGGCGTTAGCTTCCGGTATTTTATGAGTACATCGCTCGTCTTTTAATTGTATTTTATAGAAAATTTTATCATTAATATCTATGTCGGAATGGTTTTGTCTCAAATGGTGCGGTGTTAACACGTTTTTTTTAACAATAATTTCTTCAGTTTCAGAATCTTTCGAAAAATTATTCTCATTATCATAGTCGCAGTCATCGTCTCCGTTGTTGCCTGTTGAATAGTATTCGAATTCATCAACTCTCATTGTTCGATAATGATCTGGACTTTTACTTCTATCATCTAATGAGTCAGACATTTCTAATAAAGTTTCTGGACTCACTGTGGGATTTTTTCGTTGCATAGAATTACTATTGTTCTGCTTTTCTATGTTGTTCTTACGTCTAAGCACACTGCTATTTATTTCAGCATGTTTCCGTAGGGGTTTTTTGGGTGGAATACGCTTACTCGGTTCGAATACCTCATCATCTTCCTCTTTAATGGGCGTACGTATTTTTCTTTTAATTTCTTCTACCATAACAATTCTATTTCTTGGTTGTATACAATTGCGATATTTACTGCGCCTTTTTTGTTGTTTACGTTTTATCCAGAACCGACCTTCTGTACTTTCTGGAGGGCTGTATCGTACATACTCATATTCATCTTCTGTCAAGGAATCATCATTTTCACTGCGACATTTGCGTCGAGTTGTCTTTCCTTGCACATATATAGACGTTTTCTCAGGAAATTCAACATTATTGTCTGTCTGTGTACAAACCTCACATTCCGTTTGGGTTGCAATCGCCACAGAGTGACCTGGAAGGCTTTGTGTTTCTAATACAATTTCTGGCTGTGCACCTTGGGCTTCTATTTTTTCTTTTTCCATCAATATTTGGCGCAGTAGTATATTTTGTTGCTTTAGAGAATATTCAAGCTCTTGTGTTAATGATTGATTTGATATTGATGGCTGGATGTGACTTATGAAACCTTCCGTTTGAAACTGCATTTCGCCTTGAGTAGGCAGTGTATGTATCACCTTTACTTCAGGCTCGGTTTGTGAATAGACTATACTATTCGGACCCGATTTGCAGGTAGCGAACGTATCTCTCTTCAAAGTGGAGCGGAGCTCAATTTCATTGGGCATAGACTGTATATAAGTGGCACCAGGAACTATTTGATAATGCTCACGTATTATCTGTTTACCATCAGGCTGTTCTTCAATAAAACGGCGCATTAGAATTTCTTTTCCACTATTATCCAACATTACCAATTGAGGCTGAGACACAGTCGCTGATTTCATAGGCAAATTTACATATATGTTATTTTCATCATCCACTACTGCAAAATCCTCGCCAATTCTGTCTCTAGTCATAAGTTGCAGTATTTCAATATTTCCCTCCTTCATGAAGAATTCCCGTTTATTTCTTAAACTGCTTCGACCTATGTTGTATTCGATATCACTGCCGCGTGCAATTTCATGGCGACGCACAGAATTTTCATCAATATGTTTGATTTCGTTGTCAATTCCTTGCTGATGTTTTCCTGTTTTTGGGATTTCTCTGTTTCGCTGAAAGTGATCTGGTTCTGTTGTTGTTAGTTGCTTTTCATCTCCTATATCCTCTATGTAAACGTCTTTATCATTTATTAAGTTGGTTCTAGAATTATGAAATACAGCATCTTTGGATGTGCGGTTGTTCCTATAATGTAAATACGTATTATTTTATAAATTATATTCATGTTAAAGTTTTCTAAAATCTGGTTGTGATTTATACATGCTTGGAAAACTAAATTAGGTTTCTTTGACTGCTCAAAAAGGAGTATGTATAAGTATTTGCAATGAGACTTAAGTAAATAGAGAAATCAAATAGGAAATTAAAAAAAAACATTTCTAAAAGCAGGAACACATCACACAGATATACATCAAATTCAACAAAAAATTAAATTTCATAAAAAGACAGACGAAGATTTATGACAGAACGAGGGCAACACAAAGTATTACTTATTGTAGAATAAATAATAGCATCTTATCTCACATATTGCTGTTATTATATAATATGTATAATATAAGTAATATCACAGTTGCTTATATAATCGTATATACATAAGCCAGTTTTAATACAAAAACTCGCTCTTGTCAATATACTGAGTGGTGATTTGATAAACAAAATTTATATTTTAGTTTGCTAGTTTGCTTCAGGAAATCTTTCTGCATTGGTAAAACATTTATTGTAAATGTCGAATATATGTTTCATATATTGTGGAAGCGGAAGACTAACATACCTAGAGTTAGCAAAGTCGAACAATATTTTAAGATTAAAAATTACAGTACGAAAAATAGATGTAATATAACTCAAAATGTGTGAAAAAATGTATATGATTTGTGTACATCAATGGTTTCTAAAATACCCTCAATTTGAATGATAAATAATAATATTTTCGAAAAATTACTTTCGCCTATACAATACAAATATTTGCATTGTGCTAGAAACAACCAGAAGAATCCCATTAAAATAGCATTTCCCATTACCATAGCATTGGTATTTTCCAAATATCATTCTTCACATTTTTGAACTTAGGTGAGAAGAAACAGCATATAATAATAATAATAATAGGGGAGATGAGATATGGTGAAAAAATGGTTAACTAGCCTAGGGAATTCAGCAGATTTTAATGAGGAATCATCCTAAGCAAGTTTATTGGACGTAAATGTATAAATTAATAAGTTTTAATTATTAATTTTTTTATTAGTTTTTTTATTAATGGTGAGCGTTACGTTACTTTACAGTACTAAAAACTTAAATCTAAGTAAGCTTAAAACTAAACCTAAAGCGAATACATTCTGCTGCGTACGTGTCCGATTTCATTCCGTTGCAAGGTATTGACATTCGCATGAAGCGACCAGCGAAAAATTGGCGGCCAGCGGAGGGAACGCAATTTCACTGACTCAGGCCACGGTCCAGCTTTCTTGCTGCGGAGGAGGTACTCGTGTTAATTCCTCCTCTTCTAAATAGATGCCGTCCTCGGATTCGTGTCTAGTTTCTTTAAGTTTTGGATTTGTGTCTAGTTTCTTAAAGTTTTGGATGAGTCTCCAAAATAGAAGATAGCTATGATGAGGACGATATCTATATTGAACGTTGCAGCTTTTATTGTCAGTATTCTTTCTATATCATCAAAGTATTATAGATTCTTGATGTTCAGCCTTTGCAGGTAAGGTAGACTCATAATTTCTTGATGGTCAGTGATATTTAAGAGTGCCGATATCGCTCAGCCTGTCTTCTAACGATATTCTTCATATTCGAGAACAGAGACTCATTTATATCGACTTCTTGATCGCATGTCACCAGGAACGTGCTTTGAATGATTTTCTCTGAACCGTTATTTTTATCGTAGCCGTTATATCATTTATTATATTATACCGCCGTTTATTACTAGGCTCTAGGTGGCTGGGATGGGTACTGCAATGTGCCGTGCCACCGGAGTGTGCTGTTGCGCACATGTTGTGAATGGTAATTCTATGCAGATAGCGTTATCACCGCGCAGGCTCTTATCACCGCCACTTGCGACGTTATTGTCTTCAGCGAAATGAAATATTGTGCCATTGTGTTGCACAGGAAAAATACTTATATTCTTACAAACTAATTAGGTTTAGGATATTTAATTATAAAATGGAAAAAAATATTATCTAATACTACATTGACATACTTCCATTAAAACGGTTATTGTCATATATTTGTAGATTGCTCATTTAAAAACTTTTATAAACCTTTAGAATCGAGAGTAGCAGATTAATAATTTGAATCTTTGCGAGTGTAATTGACAACATTAATGTTTCAAGCTTTGATATTAAGATTCTATCCCTTGCGAGTAATGTTTCAGATGGCTAGTGTCGATTTGTTTACCTTTTTCATACTTGACGATAGTATTTATGGTTTCAGATACTTTGTTAATTCGTTCCTGTATCCACGAGTATTTATTATTGTTTGTCTATCTATTGACTCAATTAGCCTTTGCTGATTGAATTTTAGTTTTTCAAAATCTTCGAAATCGGGAGTCCCGGCAACTATTTTCAATGCGGTCCCCAATATACATATAAATACTTGTATATGGTGAGTGTTCATTGTTTCTAATAGTGTTTCTATATGAACTTAGTTCTTCAAAGTGATTCATAATTAATCTTGTTTAACCAGCTATTTCTGAATACGAGGTGTATTCAAAGGAAAAGGTGAAGTTTGAATTTTTTTTTAAGTATTTATTTATTCATCAATATCTATTTTGTCGCCTTTAAATTACTCCCCCTCGGATATAATACACTTGTGCCGACGCTTTTTCCAATCCTCGAAGCAATTCTGAAATGCGCTTTTCGGCATAGCCATCAGCTCTTTCTTCGATTTTGAGTAGATCTCATCAATTGTGGCAAAACGCTTTCTTTTAATTGGTTTCTTCAGTTTTGGGATTAAGAAAAAGTCGAAGGGAGCCAAATATGGTGGTTGAGGCATGATTACAATTTTGGAACAAACTTCGCTTCGAGAAACAGCCAATGTGCTGTTGTGTGTCATTATAGTTTTAGTAATAAGAAACGTGAGCATACGGTAGATCAGTTTCCTTGACGAAGAGTCGACAACTCTTGCTCGATAAAATAAATAGGCCGCTTGTCAGCGTAGGTAAAGTCCAGCCTATTGATAATTGCTTTAGTTGTGTTTCATATGAGGACAGCACCATATCAGCAGATCCCTTTATTTTATTTCTGATAATGCCTAATGCCTGGTAGTGTTTGAAACTTTCTATATAATTTCCGAAAACTTTATAAGTCGTATGAGTAGACTCTCAGAATCTCTAATTAATTCTACTCTCTTTATCTTTCAATTTTTGTTCAAAACTTGTAAGTAAGTCTTCAAGTTGTAACTTGAGCTGTCTTGTAAGTGCAGTGTTAACTGCACAATCGAATAGCGCTTCGATTTCTAATTCTCTAAACGACATTTTATCAGACCTAACTTTATATGAAGAGGGGTTAATATAATGCGTTCTCTGGCTACTAGACGGGCATTCATCACATTCATACTACCCGGTACTAAATTCACTCTCAAAGGCATAACTTGTTAAGTCCAGTGTTCTGTCTTGGCTCATACAAGGGTATTTGGTATATCTTCCTTGTTGACTCAAAAGAAAATTTACCATTTCCAGATCGACGTATATCAGCCAGTTATGTTCTATGTATATTATTATTCCGAAGTAGTAGTAGTAGTAAAATATGCCTTTTTTATAGAATCAGACGCATTTACGGCATTCTCTAAAGATATAGTCAAAACAAACAGCAAAATTGTCCAAAAAATTTATTCAAGCAAGGCGAGTAACGATATTTCAAGAAGCACCTGTATCATTAAAACTAGAGCTGCTATAAAGAAACTGAGGGTAGATTTGAAATCAGCGACGTTAAAAAAAGTTTAATTTTGTTTACCAATTTTATTTTGTTTATTGGTTTTATTTATTAATGATGAGCGTTGGCTGCACCTGGTGAGCTACTTTACAGAACTCAAAACTTAAATCTAAGCCCTAAAACCTTAAGCTTAAAACTAAACTTTCGACTTCGCTACGAGTTTCCGATTTCGGCCAGCGTGAGAACGCAAATTTAGGAATAAAAACAAAATCATACAATTTGTTTGTTTGTTCAAATGTTATATCCTTAAAGTCAAAAAAAAAAAAACTCGAAAACTATTCGTTGTTGAAAAGTTTAAGGACTTCTCTTATTGCTCTTTATCGCTTTCTCTTAAATACCATTACGTTGACAATGTGGCTCTGCTTAAAATTATTATGTGCCAGCGGTCCAGAGCGGATCAATTTCTATTGTCCCGAGCTTAAATTTATAGATTTTACGTTGAGTATATTTTGCACACTTATGGATCATATTGTACTAATTAAATTCCCAAGACAAATTTAAATAATATTAATTTTAATTTCTCCTCGTCGATACATACATATGTATGTGCCTGCTAGCATTATTTGAAAAATCCTTGAGTTTTAAAATAGATGATGTTGTTTTATATTGAATGATAATATTATTGCGAGTTAATATAAAATGCACAAATTTCATGTATTTATTTTTTCATGGAAATATTTTTTTTTTTTTACTTTTCGTTTGTTGGAATCGTGTACTTACTTTATATTCACATGCCTTCGTTGCTCTTCTGCTGAACGCTTACGACGGTTTCCTTCATTGCTGTTTACTGCTGCCTTAACGACGTTTTCGTTAAACTGCTCACGTCCATTGTGGAACTCCCAGCGTGTTGGTTTCGTTCGCGAATCTGTTGGCTTCTCGGCTGACCAGGCCTCTCGACGTCCCATCCATTCAGCGACCTGTTCCAAATTTTCAAAATTAAATGAAATTATCTGTGTATATACATATACATACATATTGATATGAGGAGTTTCTAAAAAGTAATGTGTATGTAAGAGAAAAGCCAAGAATTTGACTTCACTTGAAGCCATCTATAGGGGCCTTCTTTAAAAATTGGGGAACGATTGAGGACTACTGAGGGACTGGCCCAAAACACTAAGGTTAAGGCACTTAAAACCAGATTTAATATTCTCTCGTCGAAAATAAATATTCTCATTAATATATTAAAGCTCTCTATAATATTGAAAACTTCTTTTTAGCTTCTACTCAAAGTCCGTAAATATTGTAATAGGCGAAAATTTTGGATGTTTCTTTTCTAAACGAATGGATTAAAAACAACGTTAAAAATCTATACTAGATGTCCGAGTTTTTTGTCATATTTGTGGATTTGTGGCGAGCTCTTGGAAAAATTGGAGAAACTTTCATGTATAAAATGTATCTTAGAAGAAAATAAGCCAGATATACTTTCGGAGGTTTTCACTGTTTGCCGAGTCACAAATGCTATTAAAAAACGGTTTGACGTCGGATCGGAACCAAGTTTAGCGAATCAGTAGTACGCACTTGTAACTAACATTTCAAGGCCATCTTCTGTCTTGATTCCTTTCCAAAAAGTGTATGATTTTTTAATTTCTTTCTCAAGAGATTAGACCCATGGATATATCATAACTATTATGTCTCTTAATTCAGTAACTAATTTGATGCTAGCTCGTGCAGATCTTACTCTTTTACTAGTTCGTATATGGTATATGTACTGATGCTATTTAAGAATGTACATAATATAATAGAATAGTTTTTAGTTAAATCAATAAAAAATAACAATGGATATAAATACAAATAAATACCTTTAAATAAAAAATAAACAAAAAATGCAGAGGACAGGGATACAGAGGTTACTCTGGTTAGTATTCCTGCAGGTAAACTCGACATTTTATAAAAATCAAATAGCAAAAAAGATTACACAAAAAATCTTTGCAGTCCAATTTAAAAAAGGATTGCCCATATACTTAAGTGACTAGCTTTGGATAAAGAAAAAAAAAAAGAAAAACTCAAAATTTTGATTACTCAACATTCAACCGAAATTCATTATTTAAAAATGTGAACTAGAACGTACATATTTTTCTGATACATTTTTGTGCTAAAAGAAATGGAAGTACTTGCAAAGGAATATATATAAATTTTACAAATTCAAAATCTACCTGAACAGATTTTGCTTGTTTTCCATTTGCCATTTCCCTATGCACTAGGTGAACATCGTCTTCAGTTTTAATGATATTAACTATTCTCTTGCTACAATAAAAAAAGAAAGAATTATAGAAAGATAACTTACGGTTAAATGCAGATAAGGATAACATAAATACATATAATAAATGTGAAACAATAATCATCTTTCACAAAAGGTTTGATTTCCTCGAAAAATATTGTATTAATTTCGTCTGAATACTTTTTTACTAAGCACTTTTTTGATTTTTATATATCATTTAGTGTGTGTTTAACCACGGAAAGGAGTTGTTTAAGATTTTGTGTTTCCGATGGAATCACGGTTACGGAATCGTTGCAAATGTTATGAAAGTGTTATTACATAAGTATTTGAGAGGCACAAAACATTCTTTGGAGGTCGTCAAGTTATCGAAAATTTAACATCAAAAAATTTAAACAAACATGCTTGAAAAGAGGATCTCAACATCGACTGGATCGATTCTACACATTTTCATAAATGTTTTGGGTATGAAATGTGTCAATGGTCACTCGTACTATAAGACCTAAAGTAGAGGTCTCAAAAGAGATGCGAACCATACGTTCATCAAACGGATCATAACCGGGAACGAGACGTGGGTTTATGAATTTGACGTCGAAACTGTACACCAATCTAGCGAATGGCACAAAACTGAGCCGAAACCGAAAAACCAACAAAGTCAGTCAAAAATCAAGGTGATGCTCATGTTGCGACAGAGTATAATAGTTTTGTTCACCTAACGGTTGTTTGTATCATCTAAAACTAATTGAGTTAGATATAGGGTTATATACATATATGATCAAGTAAAAAGTTCGTTCGGTTTATATCAAGAGATGGCGTTATTGTACTAGTGTTACGTGTCGCATCATGTCGTACTATGCGGTGTTTATTCGCGCTAAAAGTTTGTCTTTGACAGTTTTTCGATTGATTGACTCAGTACGTTGTGAGCGCTCGTCAAAGATGGACACAAGCAAAAAGAAAATTCGCTATATTTTACAATTTTTCTTCGATCAAGGCGAAAAAGCAGCCAAAGCGGCTGAAAAAATTAATTTAGTTTATGAGCCCCACACTGTAAACGAACGTGTAGCACAAAAGTGGTTTGGTAGGTTTCGTTCCGGTAATTTCGATGTCAAAGATGCAACACGCGTCGGGAGGCCTGTCATCGAAAATTGCGATAAAATCATGGAAATAGAGAAACAGACCGTCACTTATTAAATTGCTGAGGAACTAAAGATAAGCCAGAAAACCGTTTGCAACCATTTGCATAACCTTGGATTCAAAAAGAAGCTCGATGTTTGGCAAAAAAACATGATGGACCCAATTTCCATCTGCGAATCGCTGCTGAATCGCAACAAAATCGACCCGTTTCTGAAACAGATTGTGACTGGCGATGACAAATGGGTCACTTACGACAACATCGAGCGCAAACGGTCATGGCCAAAGCTCGGGGAAACGGCCCAGATAGTGGCCAAGACCGGATTGACGGCCAGGAAGGTTTTGCTGTGTGTTTGGTGGGATTGGCAAGGAATCATCTACTACGAGCTGCTCTCCTATGGTCAAACGCAGATAACATATCTTTGATCAACAGAGGCCGAATTGTGTTCCATCAGGACAACGCCAGGCCACACACGTCTTTGGTGACGCGCCAGAAGCTCCGGGAGCTCGGATGGAGGTTCTAATGCACCCACCTTATAGTCCGGACCTGGCACCAAGTGATTACCATCTTTTCCTGTCCATGGCGAACGCGCTTAATCGTGAGAAGTTGGCCTCAAGAGAGGCCTGTGAAAATTGGATCTCCGAGTTTTTTGCCAATAGGGACGCAGCCTTCTACGAAAGGGGTATAATGAAGTTGGCATCTCGTTGCCAACAAGTTTACGAAAAAAACGGAGCATATTTGACTTAAATTGGACAAATATACACAAAGTTATCATCTTTTGAAAAATCAATAAAAAAACCGAACGAAGCTTGACCAATATATATAAAATATATATAAATGATTAGGATGAGTTGAAATCACGCCATTAAAACCATCAAGTAGCCATAACTATTTGGTATAACAAATCGCGTTAGGGAGAGGCATCTGCAGTTTAAAAAATTTTGAAAAAGTGGGCGTGGCCGCGCCACCTAATAGGTTTAATGTACATATATCCTAAACCGCTGAAGCTATAATAGCCGGATTCGCTCAGGACGAGTCCCTTAAGCACCACTATCTACAGTGGGAAAATAGATTAAACGGGATGATAAAACCGTCCACTCACATATAACGGTTTAGTTAAAAACTGCTTAAAGTGCTCGAAATGGTACAAGAAGGCTTTATTAGAGTCGCTGTAAAAATTGGACTTTGGTCGTGGCATCGCTCATATCTCAGGACCTACTCAACCGATTTTAACTAAATTCGGTAGGTAATATTATCCTGATGTTTTCATATCGCGTACTTCCCATATAACATAATTTTATATTCTATCTGATTTTTTCACTTTCCAGTATACAAACCAAGCACCAATGAATATAACGGTATAAAACCTACCACGAATAGTGCCCTTAAAGTATGCCACCTTTGTTGATGGTATGTGAGGTACCTTAATGAAACTCAGAGATCATCTGTGTCTGTTATTAATATGTAGTAATGCCAAAAATATACAAAATTTGGTCAATACTACACCTATCTTCAATATACCCAATAAAATATTTTCAAACTTCCGGTTAATCGTATACCGTAACTATAAGATATCTTACCGTCATCGGCTATCACCCGCGACGAATACACGTTTGGTAATAAGCTCGGTGTAACCTAATTTAGTTTTCTGTGCTTTAGTGCGTAACACGTGCTTTCACCTCATTTCATTAGCTGTTTGTAATTCGTATCGATTCTTTGTGAAAAAATGACCCCAGAGCCTTCTAATCTGGACGAAAATAGGTTTACAATATTAGAAAATACCTCAAAAATGAAAAAAAGGTAAACATAAGAAAAATTCGAATTCCCTGAATTGCCAGTGGTAAAAGAGCAAACCGCAAAATTCATAGTAGTGTCCGCAGCTGATCGAAACACGTCATTGTCCGATTACCTTTGCTTCATTGTAAACAGAGCACTGTACGCAATAAGCAAAGAGATTATAAGAGACGGAGACCTTCTGCTGCTAGTAAAGTCAAAAGCAATAGCCGATCGTTTTGTGCGTACAAAAGAATTGCCGAGAATATGCTCAATCTCATGCAAATTGCACACTAATCAAATACTGTCAAGGAAACAATCTTTGCCCCCTACTTAAACAATATTTCAGATGAAGAAATAATTAAAGAGTTAAACGCTCAAAACGTAACTGATGTCTACAAATTAAAAAAAAAAAACGTAAATGGTACCCTTTTACCTAGCGGAGTAGTGCTGCTATCATTTGACCTTCACAAACTACCAAGTAAAATCGACGTTTCATGGTACTCTCTTAAGATAAGAGAATACATTCCGAATCCAATGAGATGCAAATCATGCCAGATTAATACCAACCGTCTTACGGTACCAAGAAACATGTGTACGAAGTTTCATAAAGATATCTCAATTTTTACTCACGTTACAGCTTGCACAGGCGGACGGACGGACGGAGGACAGACAGTCACCCGGATTTCAACTCGTCTCTTAATCCTGATCATTTCATTTCATATATATATAACCCTATATCTAACTCGATTACTTGTAGGTGATACAAACAACCGTTAGGTAAACTAAACTATTAT